TTCTTGTATTCCCCCCACGGGGAAGAAGGCAAGGCCGCACAGAAGATGTTTGGTTTACAGAAAAAAGAGCCAAATGAGAGATATGCAGTACTGGTGTGGTGAATGTGAGACAGCGCTGTGTATAGTAGAATGCTTCAATGCGTACCACACTCCGCTCAAATTCTGAACCACCTGCTTCCTTTGCCGAGATACCGGGCGCTCATATTATAAGGCAAGGTTATAAAACCATCTTTTAAGATCATTTTAGTGAAAGTTTTATGCTTCAAGGCGTACCATTCACTGCTCAAATTCTAAACAACCTGCTTCCATTGCCGAGATACCGGGCGCTCATATTATAAGGTAAGATTATAAAACCACCTTTTAAGATCATTTTAGTGAAAGTTTCATGTTCCTATCTCATAGAATTTAAGAACAATGATGAATAAATCATTTTTGAGCAAAATTTAAATGGCTGGCTGAATATATTACCGCCGGAGAGACGGCCGCGGAATTTAAATGACCGCGCAAAAGGGTTAAACTGAAAGTGACACCAACTGATAGTATCCAAAATATTTGGTGCAGTGAAAGTGTCTTGTGAAATAATATTATCCCTGATTAAGCATCATATGATGACAATGTATTGAGAAGTAGAGGCATATCCCCCACTATTCTTTACCTAAACACTAGACAGAAGTGAGTGGTCAGCTTCATATCCCTGTTGCTTTACCCCACCCAGGACAGTGCAAAAGTACCCACTGTACAGGAGGCTGGGCAAACCACACAGCTGATTGGGATGCTATGGTGAAGAGCTCTCTTGCCTCTGCTAAGACATGGAAGTGTCTTTTATTGTGAAGTTATCCCGGCTACACTGTAGTCCTAAGGAAAACCTGGAGGTATTTTCTGTATGCATCAAGTACTGGGTTATTCAGTTATTCAGTATTAGAAGGGGTGGGTTTCCCCATGCACCGTGACTAGTAGTCTACTGTACGTCCCCCTTCAATTTCTACTGTCACCATACCCCACTGATACTATCTCCCCTTTCTGCCAGCAAGGTCGGCCCTCTTCTGGCAGTGGTACCCAATAATTTCCCCATCTACCGGAGGCATTGGAAACTACTTGGGCGGGAAACTTTTTTGCCTAATTTTGTTCAGAGGTCTTCTAGAGACATGAAGAACTTTTATGTGCCGTAAATCTACAACACGGGACCCACGGCTTGAAGTCCCTCCCTGAGGACTTGTTCCCTGAATTTTTCCACCCTTAAAAATTCCATGACCTCCGCTGGGTTTGAACCCACATACCCTGAGTCATGAGGTGGGAACGTTACCACTAGACTACAGAGGCTCCAAGTACCAGGTTAAGCATACCAGATGTTTCTCAGTAAAATAATAGCTTCAGACCAGCATGTTATAGTGAATTATGTTGCTTCTGAGACTGTTCCCCTACATTCCACTAATACACTGGCCACACTCCAGGAAAAGTAAGTACCATAGTACTGAAAAATGAATAACTCATACTCTTTATCAAAAAATGGCTATGTTCTTGAAAAGTAAACTTGTCTCTGAGCTTAATTAGGCATCATGCCATGGAGATGTAGTGGGGAGTGGTCTTAACCTCAGCAACAAATGATGGTCAGTTTATAACTCAGCCACTTTGCTGCAAGGGAAAGTGACACCATGTGCCCAATGGACAGGAAGTTGGCTGGACCCCAAAGGGAGCTTGGACTCGGAGGAAAAAAGAGAAAATCTCCAAACCTGCTGAGAATCAAATCCTGATTTCCTGGTAGTTCAGACCATTTTTTTTCATTCGTTGGTGGGGGGCTGGAGTCCAGCTGGGTCCACTCGGCACAGTGGCCACTGATTGGCCTATTGTACCTGCCCTGGGTGATTATGATGGAGAATTTGGTGGAATGAAGATCAGGTGGGGGAAACAGAGTACTCTAAGAAAACCCGCCCCAGCATCACTTTGTCCACCACAAATCCCACTTGACCAGACCCAGGCTGCTGGGGTGGGAAGCCAGTGTCTAACTGCTTGAGCTATGGCGTGGCCTTTTTTTAAACTTTTTTAATTCGCTTAGTGGGGGATGAACTCAAGCTGGGTCCACTCAGCACAGAGGGCACTGATTGGCCTATTGTACCTGTCCCGGGCGATTATGATGATAGAGAATTTGGTGGAATGAAGATTGGCAGGGGAAACCGAAGTAGTCGGAGAAAACCCACCCCAGCGCCACTTTGTCCATCACAAATCCCATTTGACCAGACCCGGGATCGAACCTGGGCTGCCATGGTGGGAAGCCAGCGACTAACTGCTTGAGCTATGGCACAGCCTTGGTTCAGACCAGTCTAGTCACTATGGTGACTGCACTATCCCTGATTCAGCTTCTTTAAAGTCTTTTATTACTGCTAACAGCAGACTTCACTGTCACAGCTGCAGTCACAATCAACACAGTAACTGTCACAATGTCCTCACCTTCCTTGCAAACCCATGAAGAAGGATATTGAAGAGCTCAATCTCATTTGCTGGAGACGTATATCTGGAATATCTGCTCCGTGAATGATAAAACAACAATGAAAAAAGAGCCCTGTTAAGTAGCCCACAACTCACCTAAAAAAGAAAAAAAAAACATAAAGAGATCCAAGGCAGCATGAACTTTACAAACACAGAAAAATGAAGAATATTTACAGAAAATTTTAACCTCAGAGATGTTCATTTTACATTATGCACATATTTTCCATATGGCAAAGTGATATTCACAAACTGAAAAAAGAAAATGTATCATTTAAGTATATAATGCCTAATAGGTACTGCAAGCATGCATCTTCATTTTTTTATTTCTTTAAAAGCAAAGGAATATAACTAAATCTTACACAGGTTTCCAAGTAAGCATACAGATTACGATACAAGCACTCTTCTTTAGCAGCCTTTTCTAAATCAGTCAATTTCACTTTAGCCATCTGGTCTCTCACACCCTTTTTGTAGGTCATTTTGAAAGTTGCATCTTTGGATTTTTTCTCATTGCTGTAAACAGAAAGGCAAAGATCAAAAGTATCTTAAATATGAGGGCTGTTCAGAAAGTAACCTCTGTGTATTTTGGGCAACTAACATAGGAGTGGGAGAGGGCTCACGCGTGCGAGGTAGAATCGAAGAATCACATGACTAATTGCATTGTAAACCATCACATAATTGGTCACCCAGTGTTTGTTCTTGTCTCTACAGAAACAGTTATGATGTGTCCTGTGATTGATAATCCCACAAGCTGTGAAATTCGTGCAGTTATGTTTTCTTCTTGCTAAAATCATGAGTGCTGTGGAAATTCACTGTGATTTATGTGCACTTGTTTACAGTCAAAACGTAATAAGTGAAGGAACTGTATGACAACGGTACAGAATGTTCAAAGATGGGCAGGCAAAATGGTTGGCCACCTGTGGTGAGTGATGATCTTTCTCAAAGTAGTGACCAAAAAAATTGTGAAAGATGGCACTTCACAATTTCAGAATTTTCATGTGGATTTCCACAAATTTCATGCAGTCTTCTTTACGAGATTATTGCAGTTAGGCTTCGCTATCACAAGCTTTGTGCAAGATGGGCCCTGAAAATGCCCATGGTTGTGCATAAAACACAGAGAATGGCTTTGGCTTAGACCTTTTTGAGAGTGACCCCACAAAGATGGCAATGATTTTCTCAATCACATCATAACAAGAGATGAAACGTGAGTTTCATTTGTGAATGTTGAAGCTAAAGAGCACACGCATGCACACACATATTCACCAAAGAAGCTGAAAAAGTTTAAACAAATAATGTCTGCCAAGAAGCTGATGGTTATTGTTTTCTGGGACAGGAAAGGAGTACTGATGGTAGAATTCATGCAACAAGGGACCACAATAATGTCACAAAGGTATTGCATACGAAACACTATGTGTTGGGCCAATCAGAACAAAAGGTATGGAATGCCAATAGCCAGTGCAGTGCTTCTCCATGATAACGCACATCTGAATATAGCTGCTCGCAATGTTGAAGACTTAGGGCCATTTAAATTCTGGCTGCAGAGGGCTGCCAGCAATTTAAAAGTCTGTATGTTAAAGGTTAAACTGGTCCTTCAATGGAATCCACAGATGTCCCTTCTTCATATTGTGATCTTAAGTTTACCAGATAATAATAACAGCTTCTAAAGTAATGTGAATACAATTTTTGATCTGTGAATTTTTCACTTTACTAACAGCTTTCATGGAACCAATTACCTTTTTAAATCAAGCTCACGCTACAAACACTGTAACAAGGGAATGTTTAAAGCCATATAGTCTTTAAGCCACTAATGTTTACTGTGTTAAAATGTTAATCACTGAACAAATTTCACTTTTAACTTCATGGAGCACAGTCTCGCTTGTGAAGCTAACACCTGATCAACTGGTCAAGACATTTTCCACCATCTATGGAACCTGAGAGTTTATTACCACTGTCTTCATAAGAGACATCTTCGGCCATTACACTTCTTAATACATGACTAAGAAGTAAAGTTCATCAAGAGTAAGATGTTTAACAGGAGAACATGTTTCAGCCACTATTGACCATCACCAGAAGGCGGAGTCAACACTATAAGTAAATACTTTACATATAGGTTTAAACATCAGCTGTCTTAAAAGATCTTCTATTAGCATTATAAATTTAGAGTAAATTATTAATGCAGTCAGAATATGTTGAATATGTTAAAAGCAATTAGTTAAAATCAATTAAAGTCAATCAAAACAAATTAAAAGATCTTATTATGTAATTAAAGGAACATAATGACAGTCTTCATTCCTACTGCTGGCTATGCAGAATGTTGCAGACATGCCAGGCCAACAACACAACAGTCTATGTAAGATATTCTGAAACTGTAAATATATTGTACCAGATGCGATCAATGTGTTACCAGGCAGCAGCTCTGTAATCATGGTACATTATGCAACAGAACCTGTATCTCAGTGAATGTTTATAGCTTGCTGCTAGGCTACAGTCAGCGCGCCAATGGACTGGCAAGATAACTATCACGTGACTCACTTTCTCTGTGCAACAACAGAACTGTGATTTCTGTGTAGCCCATGCCACGGCTACATAACCAGAGCTGTGAGCCACATGTTCAGTGCAAATTATAACTAGAAGTAGAGTGATTTCAAGTTCCGATGAGGTCACTGGATTTTCTTCAACTGACCTAATCCTTCCAGCCACACTAGGGCCCTGGGGTCAACTCAGCCTCTAACAGACGTGAGTACCAGGAATTAATTAAATTACTTTCTTGGGGTGTAAAGCGCAGCTGGTGCATAAGGCTGACAACCTTACCGCCATCTTTGAGCCGACTGTCTAGATAATGTAGGACCCTCAACATCTCACAACCCTATGGGCCTTCACAGCCTGTTACAGGTATAGCTTTACTTTTTACTTTTTAGAGTGACAGAGTTACGAGAAGAGTTACGAAGAAAAGCTACAAGAACACTTACGAGGTACAGTTACTAATTACGAGTTATGAGAGAGATGACAGCAGCGGAAGCACATGAGTATAGGGAACTGAAACTAGCAGTGAATGACAGAGTTCTGAGTTCTCAGTAGGAGACAGCCATGGAAAATCTGTCAACTTGTGAGAATTTAACGTGTGATTTGAAGATTTCATTTATGTGTAATTTTTGGAGTGTGTGATTCAGTGAGACTGTCATAGTTCCTGTGTTTTAATTGCATTACCAGGAGAGGACCACTGTGTGTCAATCAGCAATAGCGCTGTATTTAAATGTGATTAAGATAACTTGTAACCAAGGTGGTAATAAATCCAATCATCCAAAATAGAGCCCATAATTTTTGTTGCGTGTACCACCATAAACTAAAAAACTCCGTGGTTTTAGTCTGCAAGCAAACTGTACTGACCAAGCAACCGCCACTTGTCAGCGAAGTTAGTTCCATGACAATATGAAGAGTTGTATTTCCTATGGTCAAATAAATAATAAGAAACAATATGATTTGAAATTATAATCACTATCACACAGACACACATGCCACACTAGACATATACATAAATACCTTTTTGCTTGAGGTAATTCTGGAACCGGAACAATGGAAGCCATAGCCTCAACTGCAGGCTCACCATGTTCCTCTTCTGCTGAAATGGCTTCAACTATTGATTCATCAAGTTCATCTTCCATTTCCTGACTATGACAAATAGGATCATCTACCAAATTATGTTCCAAAACTGCAGTACCCAGAGCCACCATTTTAGGCTTGAATTCCAAATCATCTATAGATCTGTCATGGGTATCAGCTAACTCATGTTCATAATTCAAAACATCAAGCTCTTCCACTTCAGATACTTTTGCATGATTTTCACATTTTAATTCCCTGAGCAAGTACACTTTCTCAGCGGAAATGGATTTAGACATGACAACAGGCTCAATATTGTCTTGTGTCTGATGGCTGGTATCCATTTCTGGTGACATAACTGACTGTTCTGTCACATTTTTCAGATTGTACAACTGCCCCAAGTTGATGTCAGGCTGCTTTACCAAAAGAGACAAATGCTTTGGTTTCAACTTGCTGACAGATGCCTTTGTTTGGTTTGAAGCACCATCAGTAACTGCAAAATAATATGAACATATACATATATGCACACACATTGCAGGTTAAAGTGATGTTCAGTAACAGCTGCATTTAATACAATTGTGAATTCTGTTCCTTATATCAAGTCATGCAAAAACACAAATTCAAAATTTGACAGTACTAAGAGAACTATACTCACGCTCTTGCTTCCATGGAGACACATTCACAAATTCACAATTTCAAGACCTCAAGTCAAGCAGTGAAAACCTATTTGCTTCCCTTGCCTGATGTGTATGAAGCTAGGAAATAGTGCATACTCAACACAATGCATACAGGTTTTCAAGCAAAAAATAGAGATCTCAGTGACCAGATAAAAGAAAACTATGACTTTTTATACATGATTTTTTTTTATTACCAGTGGGGTGGGACTATTTTTTTTATTGCTAGTGGGGTGGGACTAAGTCCCTTGTACCGTGGCCACTTCTGACCTATTGTACCAGCCCCAGATGTTAGGTGAGGGTGATTGTGGAGCAACTGGTGGAATGAAGATTGGCAGGGGAAACCAAAGTACTCAAGAGAAAACCTGCCCCAGAGCCACTTTGTCCACCATAAATCCCACTTTACCAGACCCAGGATCGAACTCGGGCCATCACGGGGGGAAGCTAGCAACTAACCACTTGAGCTGTGGCGCGGCCTTTATACATGTATGGTCCTCCAATTTTATTAGGGGTCTCTTTCCTCTGGGTTAAAGCAGCCACTGTGTGAAGTTGACCATTCACCTCCACCTAGTTCTGAGGTTAAGGATATGTGGCTCTATACATCCACTCCTCCACATATCTTCATGGCATAGGGCTTTAATCAGTTAATTATAGGAGCAACATTACCTATACCTTTTACGTTACAATATACCAACTACTCTAGTAATGTTGAAGGACGTAAATTGAAATGTCAGGCATTAACTTCTTTTTACCTTCTACAAGCTCTGCATATTTCTTCTTGGATCTCCTAATTTTCTTCTTTTTAGTTTTATGACTGTTCTGAATTGCTGTGTGGATATTGGTGGACTGAAATCGCTTTGGCACAGCATTCTGTATGAATTGGGCATCTGAAAAATTACAAAATTAAAAACTGGAAACGCAGATTTCTTCAGTACCTACATCAAATTGCTGAGACGAACCAAATCCTCTTTCAATCTTCCTCAGAAATGTGCAGTCTTCACAATCTACATACGGTACGTCTTCGTTCTGATCTTTTTAAACTTGTTTCTAGATAAAAAGCAAACTTCCAAGTAAAATTTGGTGGTAACGTTTCATGTTTCCATCTTTTCGTATGTATGACTTACCGTTCCGAGGTTTCATAGCGAAATTATGTGAACAAACGCTGCACGATTGTTTAGCTGGCTCACTAGTATATGGTGGTGTCACTTTAGAATTTAACTGATATAATCTTTTCAGTTTAAATAACCTATACATGTTTTTTTCTTGCTGTAATTATCTACATCTGCACAAAAAATACATATTAACTGCACCCATCTTAAGTCCAACATACACCACACATAAATCTACACGCGCTACACCACAGGCTCCACTACTCGGCTTTTCGTCACGCTTTTGATGGGCAATTGTTCAGCGTTTCAGTTGTTTATATCCTGTCACGTGTATCGCAATTTACCAATGAGAGAGCTCAGTTATTACTCCATATTGAGATCGGAGATTCCGGTTGCATCCGCCCAGCAGGAAGATATTAGTATTAGTTATAGTATTCATGGTTTTATGAAAGTACTATTTACTCATCGAAGAAATAATGATTTTACTCGAGATAAACAACAGGATAGTGGAAGAAACACTGACTTTAAAATTTAAGAATGCTCTAGCGGGGTATGTATCGTTTATGTGAGATGTACCGTATAACGCGCGACAATTTAGCACCGGCAAGGGCGGAGTGCGCCTATGCAGTGTTATGGAAAGGAAAGCTTTGCGAAGAAAGATGTGGCGATCACTTGTTGTAGTTGCCAAGGACAGTACTTGTCAATATGGGAATAGTTATGTTTTACTCAGGAAAGTATTTGAAAAATTACGAGAATTTGGGGGGATATTTACTTCAAGTTATTATTGTTAGTAGCAGTTTGACCTTATTTTTAGGTTAAGAACTTCCTGGTGATGTTCTTGATTTTGTTGTTGTTCGTCTGTGAAATAAGTTTGATATGTATTGTCATTTATGTTACAGACATAAACCTGAGTCAATAGATATTACCATTGCCGACTTTGATGGAGTTCTGTTCCATATATCAAATGTTGGAGGTGACAAAACAAAAGTGAGAGTATGTACCCCATTTTCATAATTAATTCCCTCAAGTTATTAAAACTTGCGAAGTTTAGGATTAATTGTAATGACTGTATATCCCCATTTAGGTGTTCTGTTCACCTGCTTTTTTCACATACAGTTTTTGTTTGTAGTTGCTGTATTACTTACTACCTAATGGTAAATTGCAGCTTTGTTAATCCTTTATTCATTTGATTTCATATTGTTACAGTTTATGAATGTTTATTTCATGACAACATTTAATTTTCAGACAAGTATATCTTTGAAATTCTACAGAGAACTCCAGGAACATGGAGCAGACGAACTGTTAAAGAAAGAATATGGTTCTCTTCTGACACAAGTTGAAGATGGTAATTAATTTCTTTTTTAAACTTTTTTTTCATAATATTAATGATGAAGTTCTGACAGTGCCATCACTACTTTTATAAAAGGAGCATAATTTAACATTGACTCAAACCAGAAAGTGTAATTAGTTATGTTGGGCAAGGCATTTTGGTTTGGATTAGTGTTGGGTGAGGCTCATTTTACAACAGTACTGATGGAACTCTGTTGAACTTTCACCTGATCTGTGACTATTAATTTTTCTTTCTTATTCACTACAGTTGATTTTGATGTTATCATATAAATTTTCTATGTGAATCCTTAAATGAAGTCTAATGCTTAATACTGGAAATTTTCAGGATACAATGTTTCAGTGTTAATTGATTTAGAAAATGTTCCTCAAAACTGGGAAGAAGTCGTAAAGAAGATTGGGTTACTGAAGAGGAATTGTTTTGCGTCAGTCTTTGAGAAATATTTTGATTTTCAAGAGAGAGGTGAAGAGGGTCACAAGCGAGCTGTTATTAACTACAGAAATGATGAAACTATGTAAGTACAAGCTGTATGATGTAAATGTGTAGATTATATAATTATAGACATTGTTCAGGTAGGTAATGGTGGCAGACTTGACAAGTACTACTATGTGGGCATATTCCCTTCCACTATATGCAACTTCCCGTTTCTACTAAAAATTTTCTATAGAAGATGCTGATGTTGAAATTTAGACCAGTGGTTATGGCCAGTGAATGTTGGACAGGTAGAAATATGCTGTATGTATTGGCACACAATCTAGAAAACAATGAAAACGTTTAAAAGTATCACGTGTATGACAGTCGTTTTTTATGTCCTTAATTTTAATGAATCACCATTATGAAACTCAGAAGTAATATCAGATTAAGAAAACTAATGCTGCAAAATCTAAAGAAATCTATAAAAATGAAAGTAGATACAAGTTAGGCAACCTAACAAAATCAATGGTGTGTGACTGAGTCCTGAAGGTGGATGTTGCCAAAGAGTGGAGGAAAGGCATTCAGGCAGCCCACACCACAGGTAGGTAAGGTTGGGGAATCTACTATCCACCTTCAGTACTTGGAAAATTCGTTTCTTGTCTGCTATTCAGTTTGTTTTGCAAATGGGTGGCTTGATAGGAGGGGAGTGGGCACAGCAGATAATCAGTGGTGCTGTCACTACAACATCTTTGAGGGCATATCATGCATTGAATAGGTAACCATAAAGGAAAGTGCTGTGTTCAACATGATCTTCAGTATGGTGATTATGATTTCCATTGTATGTTGAGAGTAGAATCTGGTAATTTTGTAATGATGACTTAAAAATCTCTGCCACCATCTGGTGATAACATTCATTCATCCATCTATAATCTGTCAAGATGACAGGTCCACAGTCTCTTCCAAAACAGTTCCTCCACTTGATGCGATCTTGAGCTTTCTCCTTCAAATGAAAATATCCTCTTCTGTCCCCAAGGTCATCCAGCATCTTCTTACCTCTTCTTCCTTGTCTTCTGGTCACTTCTATCCACCCCTCTATCTTTCCTTCAATAACTTCTTTTAGAAGGCAGTTACCGCGTAAGATATGACCAATCCAATTAGCCTTCCATTTTCTTATTTCGTGTAGGATATTCCTCTGCTCACTGACTCTAAATAACACTTCTTCATTTCTCACATAATCGGTCCAACTGATCTTCTCCATCCTTCTCCAACACCACATTTCGAAGCTTTCCAGGTGTTTCTGATCTACTGCC